ACGCATGCTGACACATCAAGAACCGATGCTCAGGAGCAGATTGGCTGGTATTCGGGAAAAATTACATAAGAATGATCAAATAGTTCTTCAGGTGGATAAGGGAGGAGCGACGGTTGTAATGGACAGGAAACAGTACACGGAGAAAATGGAAAGTATCCTTGGCGATCGGAAAACTTATTAGATACTAAGGAAGGATCCAACCACGAAGATCAACGGGACACTGAAGAATATGCTCAAGGAAATGCATAATAATGGAAATTAAGTGAAATCTTTGATCAAAAATGACGCAAGAGAACCGATAGTCTACTTGCCGACCCATGCATAACAAGTTATATGAAACCAAACCGCCCTTAAATTTTTATGAGTTGAAAAATTTGAGCTAAATGAACACATGGCTAATAGAGGACACTGTAGTATTGAGGCCACAGGAAGGGATTCTATAGAAATAAACAAAACAGCCAACATCCTGAAAATTAAATGTATATGCAGGAAGTTGAGCTGGAACTGTTTGTGGCTGGTGGATATGCTTAAGAAGGGACCGGAAGAGAAATAGAAGAAAAAACCGCTAAGTGAATGTAGAAGGCTTTGATTGCTTTGAGTTTGATCAGAACTCTCACGATTCACGCGATTGTGCCACTGCATACAGACAATATGCAAAGGCATAAACTCAAACCAATTTCAGGATTATACGTTTGAGCATTTAGGCAAGAAGTATGCTGCCTCTACATCCATTACCTCACTCATCTTCAATAACATAATATAATATAATGTTATGTTAGAAGTGAATATACCAACTAAATCATGGGATGCCTCCATAGAAACGCAAAGTGAGTGTATATGGAGTGTTTTTTTCGTAAAATCTGCTTTTTTCGCGTTGCAAATGTCTGTGACATGACGGAGAAAGATTAGCACATCTTCAACTGGATCAATTGACAGTGAACTGATCACTTCATTGCATAATATCATAGTTTTGATTCCGCGGTAATCCTGCTTTGTTTTCCGGTGAGACCAATTCGCTAATTGCCTCTACCAACTGATCCTTCGAAATGAAAAGCAATTTCAAAATAAAAGTTCATCAGGTTAGGGGTCATAGTTACTGACACGGATGCACCATACAAAACGTGAAAAAACAATCCACCGATTAATTCGACAGTAGACATATTAATTCACACTAATCATATTGGCTCAAAAGGTAGACGCAATTTCATGTGTCCTGTTGCACTTGCTTGAGTAACATATAAGCGCACATAAGATAGTGTTATGTTTACTATCAACCAAAGTAATATTTGCTTGATAGACCTCTTGGTAAGATCATGAAGGATTGTAGAAGCAATCACATGATCAACTTACGTTGAGACTGGCAAGCCTCTTCTTCCTCCTCATCGCTTGGAAAGATGTTGGCAAAAAGTCCTATTCTGCCTGCTCCACTTTCTTGTTCGTCTTCTTCCGGGACTAGATAAATGTCCATACCGAGCATATACTCATAGGGAGTGGCGATAACCAAGGTTTTTCCGGTACGGCTCAGCCAAATTGTGTAGGGTTCATTCTCAAAAAAGTAGCTGGCCCTTTGCACGCCTCGTTGAAGGTCAAACGCCATCAAAACACGCGGTGGAGCAGCGCCGAATTCGTCTTCCATCAAGGAAGACGACGAGCTGTGGGGCTCCGATGTGAACAGATTCAACTGAATGAGCATTTCGGGATGATGCCGTTTGGCCAACAGAATGCGGCCATCCAGAGCCAGGCGCATCTGCTGCAGGTAGAGACAATCCTTGCCCACCTCCTGACGCTCGAGGCTGAGCCTCTCTTCCTCCTCGAGCTGTACGGCATCTTTGGCCTCCAGGTCTTCAGGACCCGAGGCCTCATCCTCTTCATCCTCTTCATCTCCCCCCCACGACGTCTGTGACGGCTTCACGGAAGGCCCAGCTACACGTATTGACTTGGGCTCCTGCTCAGTGACAGCGTGAAATGCCATCTTCAACCGTTCCAAAAGACCGGAGTCTGCCACTGGGAAGTTGAGCTCTCCGGCCAAATCTCGCACCAACTCGCCAGTTTCCAGGCGGTAGATGTGCAGTCGATAGTTGACCAAGTGTTCACGGTCCGGCATGATACAGATCTGAGGCCCAAAGTCCATCGGAACCACGTTTAGGAGGCAAGGAAAGTTGGCTCTGTCTGCCATTCGAGGGTCGTCCGGCGGTACTTCCGGATATCCCAGATCTATTATCAGCATGGCCCCTAGCCAGAGCACCAGTTGGCCGTTGTTTTGGGTAACTGAGTACATGTTGAAGTGGGACTCAGTCAGTCCGACAAGTATATGACTGGGGTGGGCTGGTCCGCGAAACTCAAACAGAGCCGGGGTCAGATGGCCCACGGAGCGAGTTAGGCCCACCCTTTTGGCCACTTTCTGGACGGATTTGTCGATGCCAGCCAAAGACCACTCAACGCCGCCCCAAACGTCGACAACGGCCTGTGGTCTGCCGTCCGGGGGGAAGACGATCAGACGCAGAGTCAACGTGTAGGCCTTCGAGACGTCCAGATGCACCAACACCAGCATTCCGTGGGTCGGCGAGAAGATGCCGAACTCCTTCAGATATCCACCGCCCGAGGGGAGTGGGATCGCCAAGTTGGGCATATAGTCCTCAATTTTTTGGGGATCCAGAAAGGTTTGCAGAAAGATGGGCCCATCTGAGCTGCCATCGTCTGGCGTTGTGCGAAAGAGGCTGATGGCCAACAATTTCGACTGACTACTGTGCCGATAGGCTCTGGTGACCGGCTCACCAGGGCCAGAGAAAACAGCTTCCAGCCAGTTGGGAATGGTGTCCGTGGTGATGAAGGCACCCAGATTCTGGGCGTTTGGTGTCGACTTACCGGACCAAATATGTATCGGTTGGGTGGCGGGCTCATCGATGTCGCAGAGCAAGAGACTGTCCGGATCGTAGGCTTCATAACGCTTGCAATGCACCAAAACTTGGCTGCTTATAGCATCAAAGTGGACGTATTCAAGAGAGATTTGCGCCGGCAAAAAGACGATCGGCGCAAGTGGATCAAAATCGTCAAAAGTCGACGGTCTCGTTTTCACAATCACGGTGTCAGGATCCTCGGGGTCATGAGGGCAAGCGCCGAGTCGAAGAAGATCGTCATCGGGTCGGGTCATTGCGTCCAGGTGGTAGAGTTTACAGGTGATGAACATGCGTTGATCCGATGTACTGCCCTGATTGGGCGCACTTTCATCGGGAAAATGGCAGACGATCAGCAGAGATTCTACGCCCATGCTACCTGTCGTTGCTAGACTATTGCTTCCGATGCCTCCGGCTGTACTGCCTAGGCCGAACAAATCGTGTAGTTCGGGGTTACTTTCGCCGAATCGGACCTCCTCGCCACTGTGTGGCCCTGTAGGGGACGTCTCTACGAAGGCAGCGGGAATGGTGATACCGCCGAACAGGCTCTCTGCCGTGCCCTGCGTGGCCACCTTGAGGAGATGGCCCGTCTGGGTGCTCCATACAAGAAAGAGACAGTTTGCGCCCGAAGTGATGAGCAGAGTGTTCTCGCAGTTGAAGGTACAGGTGGTTGAATTTCCCAGTCCGGTAACATAACTGAAGGAGAGAATGTGAATATACCGACATGAGGAGACAGGCTGTCGAATTCTGTTACATCAATTTCCATTTCGAAGGAAAAGTTGGTTGGAGGGAATTCGTAAAATTATCTCATCGAAAACTGCAATGAAATTGCCACCGAGTGAAAGCTGCTGGATTGTGCGAGGAAATTCTTATTTCACCGTCCTGCAAGCCCGATGAACCTGTACTAAGCTTTCGTCCGTATTGTCGTCACAGACATCGTCAGAGCAAGAATCTATACTTTACGAAACCGAGCAAAAATGTACCGAACCAAAAGAAAAGATAGCTGGCTGCAAACATTGTCACTTTTTGTGTACACCAAGCCTTGTAATCTTAATGATACATTCCATATTTTACATATTTTTCGTTGATAAGTAGGGTTTCAAACTACTAGTCAATCATTTATATAAGATGTACTCATCCTATTTGCTTTAAGGTGGTTAAATTTTCCCACAATGATATGAGTATGGTTGATGCTTCCATTGAATTTCACATAGCGTTGTTTTCCCAAAAGGTGTTCTTATCCATAATGGACTGTAGTTTCGACCTCGCATGGGCCTTATCAACGCCCCCAGTGGAGCTCGAACAATGACAGTGCCCTGTGATATAAAGAGTAACAGGGTTTTGGTGAATTATTGGGACTTATTGTTGGGACTTTCATTTCGTATGTAAGTGTATGAAGAAGAGATTCGAAGGTCGATCTCACTTGAGAATTTTACAAGAATGACTCCCAGCTCTGTCGATGTCCATCATGTCCATCATATTTATGGACGAAAGCTCAGCCCGTTTCACCTGAAAAGAGAGAAGACGTCTCGTGGATTGCATCAAAATTCAACGTCGTATAAGAGCCAAACGAATACAGTACAACGGGCTTAAACCGTCCTCTTCTGGTGAGATCGACCTTCGAATCTCTTCTTCATACACTTTCATACAAAATAAAAGTCCCAACAATAGTGCCCTGTAACCTCAGGGAACTCGTGACAATGTGGTGTTGTGGTTGATGTGTCGAGATTACACACTGCACTGTCATGGTTCGAATCCTGCTAGGGATGTTGATAAGACCTAAGCGAGCCCGAAACTGCAGTTCACTTTGAATGAGATCACCTCTTGGTCCTTCATTGCCTTGAACTAAATAAGGTGATTACATCTCATATCATTCTACATAGTTTAATCGAAATTAGTAATATCAAAATAGGGTGGCCTTTGGTATAGTCACGATCTCCTTTCGTTGTATAAAAGTTGCATACCCTTTTTCGCAACTTGGTCGTATTGTCCATGGTCTGCATTTTGGAAAGTTTCATGGCTACTATGAAC